GCAGCTCTTAAAAGCTAATTTTATAAGCCTAAAATTATTAATTGGTTCTATTTAAATTTAAATTTTTACTCATTCTTAGATTTGGAATGTTAAAGTTTTCTTCTCGACACGGTAGTGCTCATCTTGAAGCGCTGTCAAACATTTTTATCGGTTACTTTAGATTAAAGATACTCATCAGATAAATGAGACGGCTCGCATGAAATTGACAGACAAGAAGTTTCTTTAAAGACACAGACATTCTGTTTCAATTATTTTCAACAAACCGCTTCATCGCAAACTCAAATCTATTTTTAAAATCTTTAAACTATTGTTATAATCACAGTCTCGCGATTAACTGAGGCATTGCCACTCTTTCTCAACCAAGGTACCAACTGAGGTAATTTACTTACCATAAGTGGCGCAAGAATGTTCATATTCCTACTACAGACCACATTTTTTTTTTTTTTGGTCTGCCATTCATAACTTCTCAGTTCTACTGTGTTTAGAGTGCCTTTTTGTGTTAAAGACATAGCAACTTTTACATTTCTTTCTTGTAAACGCTGTTCATCCTTTCCACTGATGATTCACGCTCCCTCACAACTCCATTAATTAATTACAATATTTGTGCCTGGATTTTTATAGACTTTAAATAATGTGCTTGCAGGAATCAATTATGATTGCATCTGCTTTTTCCTATAACCTGTAAATTCTTCAACACCCATTGTACATAAATTAATAAAATCTCTGTATGTCTGGAAGTTTAATTCTTCCTTAAGTATACGATATTTTACTCAGAGAAAAAAATTGGGTGTTTAGTCAAGATGGATCAAGATTAGGATGTCAAGATTAGGTATAGGTACGTGAGGAAGTTTACCTACTAATCCGAAAGTAACAGAACTGCGAAATCTAATAGAGAATTATGATGTGTCGACAGCGACTTTGTCGTTAACGTTATTAACGTAACTGTAGAAGATAGACTAAAAAAACTGAAGCAGGCTCAATTCAAAAGGAACTTGAAATAGAAACCGCGAAAACACAACACATTCAGTCAACTTCGTGAATGTCAGAAAATGACTTCTCAGGGATTAACTTAGAAAAATTAATCAAAAGTATTAAAACCGTAACTATCCACGTTCCGGATAAACCGGAAGAAGTGTTGAATTTGTTTTTCGTGTCAATTGATAGAAATTGTTGCAGACGAATTGAAAGCGGAAATATTGATAACATATTAGGAGAAAAAATACATAACATTTTAATTTTTGTCAGTAAAGAAGAATTAAAGGACTATGACAAAATAAAGGCCTTTAATATTAAAAAATTTCAACCAATTCCCATAGATTCTTTAAAGAATTTTAAGAAAGCTCAGAGAACACAAGATGAGACTTACGTTTAATTTGCATCGAGCTTAACTGCAGTGTTTGACTACTATTGCAATTAGAGAATAAATCTGTCAATCAGAGGAAATTGAGCACTAAATCTGTTAGTGCTGTGTTCGTCTTCAAACAGATTTATGACCTTACTCCTAGCTCTTTCTGCGTTTCATTTGTATAGGTGCGGAGGAGGGGGATAGAGATTTATCTCGCATCATTAATAGAAAATTGCGTAATGCTGTTTCCTGTTTAATTAGAGATTACAACTTTCGGAAAATATCCCTTGTTGCCCGTTAAAAATGCATATTGTATTATCAGATAACATGCCCGTATATCAAATTGAAGAATGGGCTTCGCCGAACGAAGGATTGTTGATAGACCAATCAAGGAATTTAAATAATGGTATAGTAAAAATAGCTCTTCAAATTATTTTGCTCCGGCTGTCTTGTGTGAAAAGAAAGCCAGTTCTTACCGATTATGTGTTGATTATAAGAAATTAAATAAAACGATTATTACAGGCAGATTTCAATTCCTTCTGATATCAGATGTGTTAGATCATCTTGAAGAAGCAAAAGTTTTCACCGTTATAGATCTAAAAAATGGGGTTTTCCATGTGGATACTGATGAAAAAAGAAAAATATACATCGCGTTTGTAACACATAACGGCATACAGGAGTTTTTAAAAGCTCCTTTCGGTTTGTGCATCTATCCTAATATGTTTCAGAGGTACATTTACTCTGTGTTTAGAGAATTACTGAAGGACGGTTTCTTAATTATTTACATGGATGATTTGATTATGCCTGCAAAAAATGAACATGAAGGTATAAAAAAGTTACTTAGAGTTCTTATTGCTACCATAACCATAACCTAAACATTTAATGCCTAAAGTCAGAATAACAATCGATCTCAGAAATGATATTTGGTGATAACTGCAACCCACGATACACAAGGGGAGTGACATTGATAGTTGTCAGGACCTCACGAAATATACAAATGTTATGAGAAGCAGTAAGTGAAGTTAAACCTGTATGAAACACACGCCTCAGAGCCGATATTGATTAAAAGAGAAGCGCAAGACGAGAGTATCAACGTACCAAACACCGTGATGATAAAAGGAACTTCAATCGCCTGTGCGAACGCGGTCAAGTTCTTAAATAAACTCACACAGATCGCAGGATAACACTCAGATCTTTTCTGAAGAGGTAACTCCTTGGGAAAGCGTGAGAGGTACAAAAAATGCATATACGCCTCTGCCCCTTCAGGCCTCAACGGTCTATTAACCGGAACTGAGAAAGCGAGCTTTTCCTTCAGCCTCAGCATCTAGAATCTCAGTTCGCATTAACAACATTTCAGACTCAGACACTGAACAGCTATTGCTGGCTTACATCATTTTCAACACAGCCGTGCACAGACATCAGATCTCACTAGCCTCGGAGGTCTGTCTCTATATCTGCGAAGTGCAAAAAGGATTAAGAGCCTGAGGACGGAGTATACAAAAGGAAATGAAATGATCAGCACTCCTGTCAAGATGATACTTATTCACCAAGCTAGTGAATATCATATACGATCCCAACATGTTGGAAAACGGCCAATGTTTATGCCCTCTGAAAGCCCAACAAGCCTGCGATGTCCTGATCTATTACCGAAATCAGTTGTGGAATTCAATTAGCAATCGTGGAAGCAGTTTTCTCATAGACTAAACATCTTTCTGGATGGCAGAAGATCCAGCATACCTTCAGTTTGGGTTCAGGCAAGCACTCGACATCGCATCACTCTACAGAGTTGTTGAGTTAAAATAAGCAGTGGGAGCAACAAATCGTGTCACCAGGTGAACTTTTATAGGTGGCCAAGGCCTTCGAATTGAGGAGGGCTGGCTGCCTCAATAGAAATTACACAACCTGGGACCCCAGGCTACATCACAAACATAATTATTCCTAACCTAACTGGTAGACACACTTTTCGTCATGTTTCTGGTTCATATCCACAAACCGGCCTGGTGTTCCAAGGGATCCCTTCTGGGCCCTCCTATTCAATATTACGTGAACGGACATCCCCACTACACACAACACACTAGCCAGTATGCAGACGACACAGCGATCCTTACGCAAATGCATTTGTTAGTTTCGCATACACACTACAACACCCATCCTCGCTAGGACTTGGCTGACCAAATGGAAAGTCAAAGTGAATGTCGACAAGACACATGCCATACTGTTTACTACTAAGAGGAATTTCCCGACTCACCTGCAAATGTATGGTGTGGACATTACCTGGGTCAATCAGGTCCCTTATCTTGGTGTGATCCTCAGTAAATCTCTTACATGGAACCCCACGTTACACATATTCTCAGGAAGTTTCGAGCTAGTAAAGCTTCACTCTTCCCCTTAATTGCTCGAAACAGTGTTTTATCTATTGATAATAAGTTGCTCATTTACAAAACCATGTTGCGCCCAATTCTTAGTTATGCATGCCCCGTCTGGGCATACTCGTGCAAAAGTTTGAGAAGGCAGTTACAAGCTGCCCAAAACGGGGTATTGCGTATGAATATGCAATGCCCCCTGGTACATTCGAAATAGCCAAAATTCGTAAAGAGTTAAGAATAGAGGATCTTTGTGATTTTTATTTGCCGCCTATCTAGGGCAATTTTATGATAAACAGGAACTTCTGGACAATCCTGTGGTTGTTAACTATTGTTATGATACTAGGGACCCCAATTTCAGTAAACGCCCAAGGGCGATCCTAAATGTTAGTATTAAGTAATTTTGTATATTGTGTTATGCAAATTGTTGCTCAGATTCTTTATTGTATATTGTTCTTTTTTCCTCCTGATTGCATTTTGTTTTTTACTAGTGGCACTAAGGCGTCGCACTTCGTATTTTGTTTCTCTGTGTGTGAACATGTATTCTCTGTGAAATAGTTGTTAAAAAATAGTTAATTATGTATGGATTAGTAATTAGGTACTTAAGGAAAAAAATATGTATTTAACTATTAGCAATTATGAATTTAAACTCTTATTCATTTAATTATTTAGCACATTCAGTTATATTTCTCATAATTCGAAACTTTTATCATGTTATTCGATGAGGGGTAGGGCTATGGCGCCCAGGCACCCTGGTGGTTAAGCACCGCAGTTCAATGTATGCAGAGATTTTTCATCAAAAAATATTTGTTTGCTTCCCCATAACCAAACGCACACTATCAATTCATCATCTTATATTCATGCTACATACAGGAGTAAAAAGTAATTTTCCAATTTTTGCCCTTAAGTATGCAGCATGAATGCATGAGGTATTTCCTAAATACTGCCTTTTCTTCTTTTCAAAAATACTTAAGAGTTTAGTCTCAGCTGGTGGAGCTCAAAATTTATTATTCCATAAATAATTGTTTAGTTCTTTGACAAAATTATTCCGATTACGTAACATAATTATATTTCGACGGCATGTATTTACTATATAGGGCTAGTAATAAAAGACTTCAATTTTTTTTTTTTTTTTTAATATTCCAGTAAAATTGTCTTGTTCTATCAAAGTAAAAATAACATTTTCTTCACAGATTTCTTTAACACTACAACTACTTCTTCAGTACTTCGTCGCATTTTATTGGCTGAAGAGAATACTTAGAAATCGCCGCTTGGGGAGGACAAACCAATGTTTCGCTGTTGGCGCTAAAATTTTGATCGTAATTATAGCTGATTTCATTGGTTGGAATTGTTCCAAACATTGGTGACGTCTGCGGTTGCTGTGCGATAGTGTTCATGGATGATTAGAGGGTGCCTTGTTTGGTTCTTGTTGCTCTATGTTTTTAAAGAATTTAACATAATTTTTCGACAAAAGAGATTCGTACAGGTGAGTATGTTCTTTAATAATAAGAGCAGTTTAATCATATGGAACTTCATATAAGTTTCTCCGTACGTTATTAGATTAACTTTTGGATGAATGAATTTTCAGTTTTTATCACGTAGTCAAAAAATTTTCTCTTTACCAGTATTAATTTACCATATCCTTGTTTCTTTATAATTTAAGATTAGACTTGACTGTTCTGAGATAAAGTTATGAAGTATTACGCTGATGTTGAGTATTCGTAGCATGTTCCACTTATGCGTGACCCATCATTTCCTTTTCCCACCTTTGAAAAACTAGCGTGTTTTTCACTCTTTTGAAAATACTTAGGCGTAATCGTATATAAGGAATATTTGATGAATAAAGCGGTGATCTTTAATGGTATCTTTATTTAGCATCAATTAATTGTGTAAACTAATGTATAGAGTTGAAATATTGTCACAATTTGGAAAAGAACTTTTGATTAATTTTTTTGGTTATTAGATGCATGAATATTTTGATTGAAGAAATTGTGTATTACAATTTTAATATATTGTTAAGCATTATATTTTTGTAAATGGCTTGTATACTGTAATTCATTAGCTGTAATATCAATTAATATAGTGCTTATAATAAATAAGATCCTGCTTCAGGTATTAGGTATTGCTTCAGAAGTACCTGAATTATAATATTTAAGTTTTAGAACTGAAATATGTATGCAGCATACGTTTTTCAGAATTTACTTTCGGAAACAGTAGTTATGTAATGTGTATACTGTATGCATCTACATTATTTTAAGATATTCACTATTAGCAGTAGTTTAGTGAATAATGCAAATAACAATAAAAATATTTAATTTAGAAATGGTAGTAAATAATAAACATCCACTTTATAAAGATTTATATACAGAATTCAAAATGAGTATGCCTTTGCTGTTGTATTTGCAGAATATATTCTTTCAGCATATTAAAACTGACTATCATCATATGAAGCATAATATTCATTATTTCATTTATAAAAAGTTTTTCATAATAATTCAAGTTGTGATGATTAGTTTGTGTTTATTACTTTTAATTGATTACTTGATTTACTTTTCAAAGGCGTTGTAAATTGTAGCTTTTTGTCCTTATATTAAAATATTTATTTAGCTCATACAGTAGAATTTAAATGAAAAAGAAGCGTTTCAGATTGCATTTATTTAAGATTGCCTCATTTTGAAGTATTGTAAGTAGTGATTAAAAGCATGTAGTTTAAATATTCATGTCAATGACTGTAAAAAAATTAAGGACCATTTTTTGAAATAATGAAAATTTGAAATTTTTTAGCACTATCAGAAAATTTTTAAATTTGTAAAAATGCTGTATTAAAATGAGAAATAGTTTTAATGTTTTACTGTTAAAAGAAAATAAAAGAAGTTATTCTCTAATCGTATGCATCAAAGTGAAAAAAATTAATTTATATAATCAAAAACTAGCATCGGAATATTTTTGGCTGACATTTTTGTGAATATTACTATTCAGCAGTAGGTTACCATTTAAAGAACAAATATGTAGCCAATATTCAGTGCTAAAATGCTGCATCCCATGTTATATGTGTATACATTACCTGAAGAAATAAATTAAAAAAGATAAAATAAGGGCACATCAGAAAATGACTTGAAGCACAAATCTCGTTTTCGGTACGAACGGCGGCATAATGGAAAGGAGTTGTTTCTGCCGTGCGAGCGAGCATCTCTGAGAATGGTGTACTAAATCGGCGATACCAATACTAGAGAGGGGGAGACGTGTTTTGATGAAAACTCGTACTCTATTTTTTGCTACGCCAGAATTGTGTTTAAAAATTCTTGCTTTTTATGTGAAGATTAAGTTTCTGAAGTGATTTTGTCTGCGTTTAAATTATTTCTAAGGAAATAAGATGCATTTATGTATTTTATTGATTGTCGGGATATATAAGAGCTGCTGGCTGCGTCTAGAATAATACAGCAGCTGTGGACGAGTCCATTTTAGCTTCCCGATGTGTTTGCGTTTCGACTGCAGCCATGTTCCTCTTGCTGCCATAAACGTGGAGTGGTTCACTGTTGAAACTGCTGTGTGTTGTGTATCGTATTAAGAACTTGGATTATTATTTTAAGAAAGTGAGTACATTTTGTATTAGAATGCAGTTTCAGATGCTAGAAATTATGATGACACTATCGAAACAAAAGAATTCTTACTTTAAGCGAGAAAATACTGTTTAATTTTTAGTGGCTTCGGAAACCGACTGCTTGGTTTTTATATAAATAACATTGATATTTAGTGATTCATCTCAAAATTAAGAAAAATACAAATTCTTTTTAAATTCCGATTAAAATATAGACATGAATATATTGTCGTCTGTTGCTTTATGGTTGTAAATGTTATAATTTATAGTTCTAACTTCTTCTGTCATTTAACTTGGTTGTTAAAAGTTCGTTTGATAAATTTAGATTGGAACTCATTTTAACATGCTTAGAAAGGTTTACATAGTACTCTTCTTTATTCGTTTCCAATTTCGAATGATTAAAAAATATTGGGTTCTAAGTGACATGATCAGTATGTTTATTGCGAATTTTTATCATTTTTATTTTCTATGTTTAAGTGAAGAAAAATAACATCTGAGTGAACTCTCGTGTTAATTTTGAAAATGCGAAATATATTTTTTCTATTAAAAAATGCTGGAATGAAAACTTGTTGACTCTTTGTGGTAAGGAATGTCATTCAGTATTTTTACTGTATAAATTATTTTTGTAAAAAGCACTGACATTGTATCTTCTTCATCAAAAATAGAATATTGGAATATTTCTTTGTGTAAAATTGTATTTGAGAGGAAAATTTTATTAATATTCCTTTAAAATATATCAATCATATATAATAGCTTGTTATGGTAAGAATAAACCCAACTGTACAGTTAACTTTTAGTTTTTGTTACTTCAAAAGTGTTGAGTGGTTTAGAAGTATTAAAAAAGATTCAGTTATTATTTAAAACTTTGTTTTCAGTGTCAGAAGGTAAAATGACAGGTCAAGATATGGCTAACAAGGTTCAGAATTAAGAGTACATTTAATTTTTTTTTTTTGTCTTATCAATGCTTGGGGTGTAATTTCTCTGATCAGGTGAGGTGTATGAAATTGTTTTTTTTTTCTTCAGAAATGCACTTGCATTTGACTTTTTTTTTATTAATATCAATGCCAAAGATTAGGAGAACTTTGACAATTTTCAGTATTCTATTGGCTGTCTTTTAAATCATTCAGAGCTCTTATTTTCTTTTTACTGATTATTTTAACATATGATAAAAATTTCCTTATAATAGGGTTAGTTGGTCCTAATAAAGAGATAAATGTGATATAATCAGCATCTCTGAAAAAGCTATGTAGAGTTTTCGTTGCATGTAGAAGATTTCAGACTCGGTGTAGATATAAAAACTTAAGAACCTTAATTTTTCACTTCATTTGCTTGCAGATACTTCCTTTGCTATGTTAATCTCACTGTAGTTCCCCATCATTATCTAATCGGCCGAAGTTGTGTTAAATTTTAAAAATAGTTCCATTTTCAGATTTGCATTCTCTAAATTTAGTTTTTGTACATATGATTAAAATAGACTAGCAAGATAGTTTTTGCAGCTTATTTGTTTTAATCCAGCTACTCAAATTCAGCATTAAAAAACTTCAAATATAGATATGTTAAATAGGTATTAAAAATATTAGAACAGTAGTTCTATTATTAAGTCCTCACTCCTTCCCTATTTAGGTCTAAAAAAAAAGCATTTTTTGACTGTATTTGAAATTTGGACATAATATTCTGAAGTAGCCAATGAAACATAAAAGAAAACATCTATTAGTCCTGGCAAACTGTCATCAGAATCTTACAAGAAGATTCTGATGACAGTGAAGTTTAAAATTGAATGGTTCTGAAGTGTTAAAATTGAATTAAAATATAAGCATAAATGTTGTGCTATTGTTTTACAGTAACTGTTTAAATAATGGAAAAGTAATGGCAGTTTTCATTTAAAAGTAAATTTCTTTATTAGACCTTAACAAATTTTTGAAAATCATCTTGATTATACTTGTATTATGCTGCTGGATAAGTCATTATAATACTTACAAAATGACTAAGTTGCTGATTGTGTTAATTATTGCTCAATCCTTTTAGAGGGAAAAAGATTTTCAATTTTAACATTGCATGGCATTATCAGTCTCTAAGATTGAAATATGGTACCTACCTATATGCGTAGAACAGGTATGGTGGCTCTTCTACTAACTTTAATACCAGTATGAAGTCAAATGAATTTTAATTATTTGTTTTAAAAATATAAGTATACTGATAGTAACATATGCTAAAAAAATAATTTCAAAGGAGACAAGTAAGGGGATCTGCAGAACATTCTAATTTATAAAGTGGTCCCCACTTGAGAAAAGTCAGAAAAAAAGTCATTGATGCAGTATTAAATTCAGATTTTATTAACAAATGGATGAAATTATCATATATTTCAGAAGGACAACTTCAGTTTGATGAACATTTTAAAATTGTAGGAATGCTTTGAAAGAAGAGTAAATATTTTTCATATTTAATCTGACACGCTTTATTTATGAATTTAATTTGAAATATAAAAATTTGATTTCTTTTTAACTATATCAAGTCTTTTGCATCCTAAGTTAAGTTCAGAGGCTTGTCCAGCTTTCAGTGTACTATTTTTTGGAAAAAGTATTGTAAGCTGATATCGGATATTTTTAAAATGTAAAATCTCTAGTTGGAAAATTAAAAAAAAAAAAAAAAAATTTTTTTTAGTCCAAAAAAAAGGGGGGGTAGTTAAAACATACAGATAACAGTAACTAGATTTTTATTATACTATAAATTAATCATACATAGCAAATCTTTTATTGTTTCACTGTATAAGACTAATACAGATGAGCAATGCAGTCTCTTTATAGAACTGAGCAATGCAGTCTCTTTATAGAACTGAGCAATGCAATCTCTTTATAGAATGATAAATAAGGATTTGTCAAATTCTGTAA